TGATAATAATAAGAATCATAATAAATGTTTTTTGAGCACCAAATCAGCATATTATAATGATTTCTGAAAGATAATGAGACACTAAAGACTATTCAGTATCTATGCTGAAAATTCAGCTTTAAAATCAGAGGACTACATTACATTTTTTAAATGTATTGAAAACAGTTTCTGTAACTGAAAACAGTTATTGAAAATGTAATAATATTTCACAATATTTCAGTTTTTACAGTTTTTCTGGTCAAATAAATTTATGCCATGGTGAGCAGAAATTAACCTCACAATTATTTACATTTTAAAATATGTTAAATGATATTTATTTTAAATATAATTATATATATTGTAAGGGAAACAGGTCAATTTAGCTCAAAGGGAATCATTTAAGATTTTAAAGGGAATTTGGACAGAATCACTGTTTTACGGCTGATCATGCCCTAAAATTGACAATCTCCTTCCTGAGTTGTTATGATCAGTGTGTTCCTTTTGTGTTAATGTTGAAAGCTGTTCTGTGAAAGAGTTGGTTAGGCTTGCTTCAGACTGGCTAGTGCTAGGATCTGATTTATGAACATCCTGTTGTCTTGGGCCTCTGTGGAATTCGACTCCTCGTGTTTCAACTGTGTCCTTGCTCGAATCTTAAATTGTCTGATTCGGTCTGATACCCTACAATATATATATATAATTTCACAATATTACAATTAATTTAGTTGTCTATCAGATAAATGCAACATTGGTGCACATAAGTGACTTCTTTGCAAAACATGAAAAAAAAAAAAAAAAGAATATATATGTATATGATAGCCCAAGCTCGCTGACATGGTATTACACGTGTGTGTGTGTGTGTGTGTGTGTGTGTAAAAAAAAATAAAAATAATTAAAAAAACTTTCTGCAAACTTTTGAATGGTTGTGTACAATGGAATCAAAAGGTTTATGAACAATTAAAGATATATAAATGTCATTGCTTTACATAAAATATCAAACTAAGTGGCATAATGTTTTTTTTTTTTTTTACATTAGAACATTTTTATTTGCATCTGGTCTAAAAGTTTATTATAAGTGGATGTAGAACATAATTTCCCAAAGTTGCCATGGTTTCCTATTCGTCTTTCCTCCCATTTGAAAACTCTCTCATTGCTGGTCACCAACATATGATGCACTCCAAATAGCTTCTTAAATCATTTACACAGCAAGATCTTCTTGGTCATTTTACTCTTGTTTTAAACAGAAGTATTTCAGGCTAGAGATCTTCGCTTTGTTTGCTCAGTTGCTCTTTTGATTATTTGCATGGCGCTGAACACGTACTCGTGATGAATTCATTGTAAACATGAACGAGCAGCTGATCTGCTCACTGAAGTATGACCCGATTTGCAGAGCATGCTGAATATGAACCGCTCTACCACAACCAGTACATCCATCTTCTTCCGGGAGAACATTGGAACCGAGAGATGGAAGCTAAAGGATAATAAATAATTACCGCTGTGATTGACACGTCTGGCCAGTGGAGGAGGGGACCTCATTAGCCGTGTCCATCCAATGTGGCTCCGTCACTGTGACACTGTCAAATGCAGTCCCTATTAGTGCCACTTACACACTCGGACCCTGCCTTAGAGCATGCTTCACTAGCGGGATGCGATTTAAAACGGGTCGCTAGCACCACTGTCACCATTCAATATTGCTAAGTTTGGGCTTGTTTTAAGCCGAGGATGTCAGCTAGAGTAACACCATGTCAGTGAGCTTGGGCTATCATAGAGTGGGCGCTATAGTGTCTGCGTAATTAAGAGACTTTACTAGATGACAGTCTGAAGCACTGTAACGGTGAATGTAGATGTTCATGTTCATATTTGTATCATATTTCTTCCCCCATGTTCCCAGGTAGCAGGGATTGAAGGTATGCTCATCGCTAATAGGAAGGTGGA